CGAAATAAATCGTGATTGTCATCAGAAACCGCTTTACACATGCAACGACCACCCTCTCCTGAATTCTCCTTCTAGAGTTAAATTTTTAACTTGTTGTCTCTGAAGTCCATCCTTTGCTAACTCGTTCACCCAGTAAACCATTTGCCATCTTAAACACTTAAAACAGACTCAATACCAATATCAGTGTTTTGATGCGCTCTAACTGAAATTCATAAATTATTTTGACTCCTAATGATAAAGAAAATAATTATGGCACCAATGAGTTGTCTAACTTATTAATTTGTGAATGCGTAAACAGAACACCCAACGCAATCAAATTGCATGGGTGAGAAGACATACTTGAGCTTGACCTCTCATCTGGAAACACCTTAATGTGGGTGTGAGTGAAAAGGATCTCTAACACGAAGGTGAATTGAAGTCTATAATGCAAAAAAAGTGTTCAGCTGATATTGAGACGACACTTTGCAAGAATCACGTTCCTCACAGTTTCATCACTAAAGCCAGAAGTTTAAAGACTTTCTCCAAAGAACAGTTTTGTGTCGTGGGTGCTTGTTTCAGGAAAGCCAATTTCACCCTAATCATTTTCATATGCCGTCTAACATTATTGTCATTTAAATTTCCAACAATGTAGACATGCTAGTGAGTTGTTCAGGATGACTGCTGACCTAGAAACCTTCATTTGTTATTCAAAACATGAGAGTTTTCCTATTAATTTCCTTAGTCCATTGCGTAGGCGACATTTTGTCAATTTGTGAAATCATTCTGGTGCCCACATGAAAAATATGGTATTAATATCATTGAATGACTTTCTTTCTAAATCAGAGGTTAATATGAACTTGAGATAATGCTACTTCAGCATGTGAATTTAAACTGAATCCGAAGCTAAAGCAAGTCATCACAACTCATTTTGGGCAAAGCGAACCTGCAAGCAATTCCTCTAGTTACTCAACTCTGCTGGACCTGAAAACACAGTTGAAGACACTCTCATAGTGGAAAACAAAAGGTGCAGATCAATGACTTTAAATTATGGTCGATTAAAGGTGGCGTAGATGAACACATTTAACTTTCTGTGGGAATGGGGAGGGGTAGAAAATGGAACACAATAAAGAAGATAAATGATATTCACTAGTCTCAAGGAAGAACTTGAAAGTCTTTTTGCCACACAAATTAGCAGCACAATAGGCGAAAGGCTCACTAAAACAGTTAGCTGAAAGGTGTGATCATAGGCGAACATTGCATTTGAAAGTTATCGATTTGGGCAAAAGTAAAGTGGAACAATTATATTACCAACTATTTCTTTCGTCTTTAAAAGGAAACAACACGAATACTCTTTGCTCTTGCCTATCTCATGATATATAACAAAAACACACTTGTTTAAATAGCATTTTTATTCAACAACGAGACGATTAGCAAGAATATATCAATGAGGCACCGATTTAATCAACTAACAACGCTTAAATCTGCCCAATTCTCTCTGGCAATGTGGACATTTGTGAACTACATCCATGCAATCGTCCACGCAGTAGGGAATTAAGCAACATCCGCAAAAGAATCTTCAATATGGGAAAAAACAGGTAATTAACATCACATGTTGCTGAATTTGAAAAGAAGTAATTCACTTCGAAATCTCACCCAAATAAGCAAATTATTGCTGCAGAAATGTGTGTACAAGGTCCTGTCACAAATTCAGTCGACGTTCTTATACGGTGTCCACAATGAATGCAGAGCGTATCAACAGGTTCTTTGCCGAAGTAAACAGCTGGAATGGCTAGGCAAAACAAATAAAATGGCAATGAGTTTTAGACTCAGTATTTGTTAGAACACGACAAATTTATCGAGACTCACCGATGGGATGTGGTTGCTCAACGGTAACTGTATCTAAGAGGAAGAGGGAGGATATTTAAAAATACAAATATCACTAATTGTACTTCATACAATACTTTATTCAAAGTTGATTGAGAAGTCGAGACAACTGAATACTAACCTGTATATTGAGGCGGAGGTTGCGAGTCCATTACTTCTGAGATATAAAATTGACGACGTATTTTATCAGAATATTTAAATTAAAACTAGAAATTGAGTTTTGAAATAAAACGATGCAATAATAAAAGCTATGATGAGCAAAAAAATGAATGCACTATAACTATAGCTCAATGTCAGATAACTAATGTATTTTACCAGTATGGTCATAAGGAGGCAGCTGTGGTGCATCTAGAAAATACGAACATGGCGATTTTACGTTTTAAACTTAAATACATTAAAACTTATGCTTGCCTTTAAGCAAAAAAATAGGAGAAAAAAAGAAAGTTTTAAAATTGTACAGAAGATTTAAAAAATATATATGCAAGAATACATATCTTGGGAAAATATTAAGCTTAAATAGCCATTGCTCAAAGTAAAGTTTAAGTTTTACCTTCTTCACATTTGTCTTTGCTCATTTATAAATCTAAAATTTCGATAGTCTGAAAGTATTCTACTTCTGATTGTAATATGTGAAATATCGTGTAGATAGATCTGACTTATATATGAATTCTTGCGAAGGTCGCCAGTGGATTGAACTAAATGTTAAATACGAAAATAAATATAAAACTCCTATGAGTTGAAACATCTGAAAAAATAATGTAAATATTTGTAAATTCATGTATTATTAGCTTAAATATTTTAATTTTTATATTTCAACCAAAAATTATTAGATATGCATGTATTTTACATTTACATTCTTTTACAATGAAAGAATTGTCAAAATATAATGACATTTGATTTATTTGAGCTGTTTGGACAATTTGTTGTGTACATCAATAACAAAAAATTATTTTTCAATTTATAGACCACCTAGAAAACAGACATCAGTACTTTCATAATACAATCGCCCAGAGTGAATATTATATAACTTAGTATTTGGATTCCAGGGCTCCGAATTGACAGTTTTGGCCTTAAAAGTCAGCTATGACTTTGAAATGTCTTAATGATTTCATAATTCGTGAACAAAGATATTATTCACTTTCGGCAATGGCAAAATTATGATCGATTAATGTAACCTTAGATGGACATATTTGCAAAATTGATTCCTATAACTTTAAAGATGACTGCAATTTTCCATATAGTATCGCGTTTTATATCACTCAGATTGTTTATCTTTTCAAATAAAATATCATTTTTTATTTTTTTTTCAAATTTAGTTACCTTGTGGTAATTATATTTATTTTCACGAAAACACCCAGAATACTCGTAAATCCTCTAATTCAATCGACACACGTAATTGTCTGAGATATCTTGCAATCTCGTGTTCCATTTTTCTTCCTCTGTGTTTCGTTGTAATGCATAATTTTCTGTTCCACTCTGCAACTTATGAATACATATTCCAGTAGTTAATTTGATGCCAATGAATTTTGTGGGTGAATAACTTGGTTCCGGTCACCTTCACGTCATTTATATTCTTGCATCTTTTTGACCCTGTAAGATTTTTGAGTGAGCCGGTACACACATCCTCTTGAGCAGAGCTTGGCTCAAACCAACGTTCGCTGGACATTGAATGAGGGAGCATTAATGATAGCTGTATTCATTTGTTAATATCTCTTATAGTGTTCGAGCTATACCTAAAGCACGCTAAGACAAAGTTCAACAAGTAGATAAAGAAGAAAGTCTTAAAGGAGCCTAGGAATGGATAAGAGTTTACCCTTGAACACACATATTTTGAGTTTTAGATGCGATTTGTAGTTAAATACGTGGAGGTCTGTGTGACGTGAGGTATGATAACAAAGATTTGGTGATCAATTCCACGATACACTTCCTCTATTGCCGAATCAATTACTGTTGTAGCCTTCCACTTTAAAACGCCATTGATATGTTTTCCACACAAGCGTGGACCATACATATATCTTGCTTCAAAAGTCCCTCGTACAAGTGGTCAACCTTGTTGCATTTCGTTAATAGTAAAGAATGCAAGATATCCTTACAGTTGCTAAATACTGGACGCGAATTGTTTTGGCAACAATTGAAATAGGAATTTATTAATCAATACTGGAGGAAATATGCAGACATATGCTATCAGTGTGATATTTCTTCACTCGTTGCTAACATTTTGCTCTAAACGCTAAAGTTTATCATGAAGAAATAACAATTTCTTTATAACAGTATGTAGGATGAAATAGATACATTTACAAACACCTCATGAATCCCTTCGTATGTTATAGCGAATTAAAGTCATCTAAATTCAATGATGGCCAGAGAACAGAACATGAATGAAAACCATCTCCCCCCCTGATGTGTATCAATATCATATTTTGATTTTCATTGGTTCTCAAGTTTTGGTGACAAACGCAAACACGAAGTCGCTCCATGAATATGGAATCGAGTGAAAGTAACAAAACTCGAGCACATTTTATAATGTAAATACGTAAAGTCTTTCCGGTTTAGCTGATTTCCGACCCTACACTACTACATAGCCACGCACGACTGAAGAAAATGTGCTGCAG